TGAAGGAGATCAAGCAGCTCTAAGAGGAAGGACAAGAGAGCACAGAGATGTCTGTAAGAAGGTCCCATTTTCACTGCATATTGGACAGGAAAGAAATGTGTTCTTGAAAGCCAGTAAGGGCCTAAGTGAGAGCACATTTGGGTTGGGAGTCAAAAGACCTGGGTTTCAGTTCCCACCTTTTCCACTAACTAGCACTGTGACCTTGAATATATCTTTCCGTTTCTTTGGGGCTTGGTTTCTTTGACTGTAAAATATGAAGGGATTAGACTAAATGATTTTTCATGGCCTTTAAAAAATTCTGTAATGAAAATTCTCTAACAACATATAATCAGCAGCAGAGTCTTTTCCTCTGACGTGTTGCTAAAACTATGCTCCTGAAGAGCTACCCACCCATGTTCCATCCTCAGGTAACAAACCCTACAGCTTGGCCAAGCTCTAGGATGAGTCATCAACATAGCATTAAAGGCTGCTCTTTCAGTGTTTGTGGGATTCCTCTTGTGGGACTCCTCTGAAGAGCTTTCCCAAGTATCTGCTGCAAAGGAGGGTTGCTGCTCTAAAAGCTGAAATGGTGCTCAGATCGAGGAGTAGGCCTAGCGAGGAAAGGAACTATCCTTCCAGCCCTAAGAACATTTATATCCAGGAACCATAACCTGTCTCCCCCAACTCCTCTGAAGTTCCTTCCGGAAAGCACTTCTTCCTCAGATTCCAAGACCTAAATTTCCTCAACCTCCACCACAAATGCATATGTCCTTGGGGCTCTTCCCCACAAATGTTTTAGGCCCATTTTTCTACTTCTCCCTCAGACCTTTGTTCAGCCACAGACCCTTTGTTAGTCCAGAGGTACTGCATGATTCCCTGACTGCCCAAATACCTGTCAAAAAAGGAGGGGTGTTAGGAAATTTCTGAAGCAGCAACTTCCACAGTTGCCTCTAAATCTGTTCTAAACAGCCTAAGTTGAGTCTTGTGGCACAAGGAAGGGGTGATTTCTTGCTTTTTCACCTGGCCCGAGCCAAGTCCCACCTTTTATTCTGCTGCAGTTTCTCTCTTTACTGGAGGTAGGGAGCCTAGAAACATGAGTGGTAGTTTCTAACTGTGTGCCCAGGCATATATGCTTCCACAAACACTGATTCCCAGAACTGGTGTATAAACACCCAGGAGGATTAAGAATTGGCCCTTTCTTAGCCATTTCTTAGCCAACTGCTGCAAAGTGCTGCCTGCCTCTCTCCCTATTCAGTGCCAGAGATCACACCCACTCAGTCCTGATTCCCTGCATTAGTATAAATACTAGCGCTGAAGAGACGCAGGGTCCAAGTTCATGCAGCCTCCCTGGACGTCATTACTCAGTAAGCATCAGGAGACAGACACCCACCACCACAATACATGTTTGACTGTTTAACACCCAGAGAACCGAAGCAACGCTGCCTGTGGGAAATTTAAGCCAAACATTATTGCAGACCGCTTAAATCCAGGTCCCCCGGGGTCCCTGGGGTAGAACTGGTGCTGCCTGAGCAACTTCTGCTGAGGTGGCATTTACCATCTGGCCAGGTCCCAAGAGCTGAAGCTGACCCATTTCCCCTGCTTTTCCGGGGGCGTAAGGAATTTGGTTCTACCCCCCAACAAAGCCAGGGACTAACACATTTAGCTCATGGAAGGTGCACTAGAATTGGGGCACTTTTATTTAAGCTAAGGAAAGGTTGTTGACAGCTTTATTATTTTCCCATTCTTTAAAAAATTTTAACATTGTTTTCTCCTCCCACCTTACCTCACCCCTCCCCTTCGCCTTTTTCTTTAATTAGAAATGGCTTCGTCAATGCTCATAAGAATTTATAGGTTCACGGTCTTACTCAAGTTAACCGTTTGGGAACATTGAATTAAAAATTGAACAATATTTATTAAAATACAAAAATACACTTTTCTCACATTACAATCAGTGTTCTTTTGTTG